CCCTCCGGCTGGAGGCCGTCGGTACCGTGCATCCGTTTCAAAGCCTCGCTCATGTCTCCGATGGCCTCTGCCAGCTCCTGCAGGGCTTTGTGCAGGGTCTCCTCATCGCGCTGCACGACGGCACGAACGGCCTGAACGATTGCCTGCAAGAGGAGAGGAGAGGAGAGGGAGAAGGAGGAGAAGGAGAAGGAGAAGGAGAAGGAGAAGGAGAAGGAGAAGGAGAAGGAGAAGGAGAAGGAGAAGGAGAAGGAGAAGGAGAGGGAGAGGGAGAGGGAGAAGGAGAAGGAGAAGGAGAAGGAGAAGGAGAAGGAGAAGGAGAAGGAGAAGGAGAAGGAGAAGGAGAAGGAGAAGGAGAAGGAGAAGGAGAAGGAGAAGGAGAAGGAGAAGGAGAAGGAGAAGGAGAAGGAGAAGGAGAAGGAGAAGGAGAAGGAGAAGGAGAAGGAGAAGGAGAAGGAGAAGGAGAAGGAGAAGGAGAAGGAGAAGGAGAAGGAGAAGGAGAAGGAGAAGGAGAAGGAGAAGGAGAAGGAGAAGGAGAAGGAGAAGGAGAAGGAGAAGGAGAAGGAGAAGGAGAAGGAGAAGGAGAAGGAGAAGGAGAAGGAGAAGGAGAAGGAGAAGGAGAAGGAGAAGGAGAAGGAGAAGGAGAAGGAGAAGGAGAAGGAGAAGGAGAAGGAGAAGGAGAAGGAGAAGGAGAAGGAGAAGGAGAAGGAGAAGGAGAAGGAGAAGGAGAAGGAGAAGGAGAAGGAGAAGGAGAAGGAGAAGGAGAAGGAGAAGGAGAAGGAGAAGGAGAAGGAGAAGGAGAAGGAGAAGGAGAAGGAGAAGGAGAAGGAGAAGGAGAAGGAGAAGGAGAAGGAGAAGGAGAAGGAGAAGGAGAAGGAGAAGGAGAAGGAGAAGGAGAAGGAGAAGGAGAAGGAGAAGGAGAAGACGAAGTGTTGGTGGGGCTGGGCTGTCAGTGTACAGCGGTTCTGGATACCTGCTGCCACCCGTGCCAGCTCTGCCCTTGCCTTCGAGCAAGCGTGCAGGGGACGGGCGCACATCATGGGCGCCTGCGGGTGCTTTCCGGGCGAGTAAGGAGCGATGGAGGGAAGGCACAGGCATCCCGGCTGGCTCCCAGAGCGGTGCCCTACCTTAATCCCAGGCACAGCCGCCTTCTCAACCAGGAGGGTGACGAGGATGAAGCCCCGCAGACTCTCTCCCCCGGGCAGCGAGATGATGGTGTCCAGGTTCCTGCAGGGGTGACCGGCGGAGCGGCCGAGCGCGTGGGGGTTAGGAGGGCGCTTGGTCGGGGTTTCCCCGCGCACCCCGGGGCACGTTGAGCCCTTGGTGCAAAACCCTCCCGGCTACGAATCCTCTCACCCGCACCCCGGGCAGGGACAGGCGGAAGGGGAGGGGGGCTGCGCTGGTTCTGAGGGACGTGGGACCCTCCCCGGGGACTTGCGGGGTAACAGTCTGGCCCACGGTGGCCAGGCTCTGTGTGGACCCGAGCAGCCCGTGCGGGGCTCAGCCGCAGTCACGGCACTTTGCTGCTGTTGCAGTGGCATTTGCGTGCCAAAGACTGAGCTGGTTTTGTTGTGCTCATATATCAAGAGAGAGGTCGAACCTAAGCAGAGCCCCGCAGTGCTGGAGTGCTAAGCCAATTCAGACAAAACTAATACTGTTAGAAAATAAATAAGCATCTTAAATACTTACTCGATTTCCAGAGGCCTGAAGGCATTTTGGTTATCGCCAACAAACGCACAAGAAAAGAAGAGAGAAAAAGAGATGTTATAGATGGTTTCAGCAACGGACTGTGCTCCGGGAGACAAAGGAGTCGCTGCCCCGTGGGAAGCGCCGTCCCCCGGGGGAGGACGGTCCTGGAGGAACCCGGTTCCCCACTGTCCACGTCTGCGCCCATCTCTGCAGCACTGCAGCCCCAGAGAGCACTGCTCCCCCCTGCCCGGCAAGACCCTTCCCCAGACCTTCCCCGTGAGACAGCCCCCCGGTGGGGTTTCAGTGGGTTTTGGCAAAACAGGAGCAGTTTGGGGACCGTTTGTCCTGTAGTGCTGGATGGGACCTGCTGGGGCGCATCACCGCTGCCCCGACCACGGGAAGAGCCACACGCGGTCTGCCGGCGTTTGCCCCTTTACCCGTTGGGGTTCTTCCTCCTCCAGTTGGCCAACACAAAGTCCGCATGGCTGAGGATCGGGGGGAGGCCGAGGGCCTGTGAGACCTCCCAGAAGGGGATGGCAAGGTTTCGGGGCAGGACCTGAAGGGCACAAAGCACAGGAGAAGACGGGGACACTGTCAGGCCGGTGAAAGGTGCTCGGGCCAGGCAGGAGCGGTCACGCTCCTTCTGCGGCCTCAGGAAAGGGACGTGGCTCCCAGGGGACGAGTCCAAGTGGAGCACCATCAGCCCCCAGAAGCCAAGGAGGGGGTGAACCTGCCTCACGTGGCTTTTACCTTCACGGTGCCCTCCTCGCCCTCCTGCCAGAGGTAGCCCATCGTGATGAAGCTGAGCGCCAGATGTGCCAAGTGCAGCTCCTCGCGCCCCCGGAGGTGGTGGGTGCTCAGCTGCGGCATCTGCCAGAGAGACCCTGGGCAGCGGGGGCACCGCGGGTGCCAGCTGGGGAGGGACCCTCGCCCTCCCCCCAAAAACCTCGGCGCCCTCCCAGCCTGCAGGATTTGTTACTGATGTGCTGTTGCTGCCTTGTGAGCATCGACAGTAAACTGCAGGATTTTACTCAAAAAGGCATCTCCCTCTCCCACGGCCGCGGGGGGCTCCTGGAGCGCCCGAGCTCTGCGGTGCAGAGCGTGGCCGGGACGAGCTGTGGCTCTCGTGACATCTAGAGGGTTTCCCCTGCCACCGCAGGCCACGCTGCAGCCCTCGGCACGCTGCTGCGCCCCGGGACCTGCGGCGGGAGCCGTGTCTGTGCCCGTGTCACGGCTCTGCTCTCGCGTGGTGGTGTGCTGCCCGCGCACAGCGCGGCTGCTGCTCTGCCTTTCCACGCGTTCAGCACGCACTGCCGTGTCCGACCGCGGTTTGAGAGCTCTCCAGAGGCAGGAGAGACGGCCCGGGTACCTGGTGAACTCGCGAGCGGAGCTGACGGCTGGTGATGAGCCGAGGCAGGTCGTGGGCAATCTCCATCCAGGGACCGTAGGGCGCCGGCAGCTCCGTCTTGGTAGAGAGAGGGGAGAGGGAGAGCTGTAAACGCAGAGACTGAAAGCACACGGTGTCGCAAGGCTGTGTCTCTGCTCTCCCCCGGTTCCTGAGCAGCTCAGGACGGAGACGGGAGAAGATGTGTCCGGGGGCAGCCGGGGGATGCACGGGGGGGCCGGAGCGGGGCCGTGACTTGCCCCTGGGGCTGGGGAGGGCTGTGCCGAACATTGCCTGGCTGAGGGGGCCTGGGGACCCTTCGCTGTCCCACTCCGTCACGTTTGCAAAGGGTTTCTGCTGCTCTGGCGGGGCTGTGCTCACGCCTGCGGGAATGGAGGGGCGCGGACACCGCCAGCCCGGGCTCCCAGCGTCCCTCCAGCCACGCATGCTGCGGCCGGTGCTGTGTCCCCCGTTCCCCTGCCTGTAATACCAGCCTGCGTGATCGCAAATTAATGAATGATAAACAAGGGCCTGCCCGTCCCTGAGCACCGCCACTGCGAAGTGAGCCCGGTGACAAACGGCATCTGCAGTCTGACTGCTCTCCTCGTGCTCCCCGAACTCCCGTAACGCCAAGGCCAAGGCGTGAATTGCAAAGCTGCTTCTCCTCTCCCCTCTGCCACCCACTGCAGCCAGTTTAATCATTTAATCAAAAGCAAGAAGTTTGTCCTGTGAAACTGCCTAAGCCAAAATAGCACGTGCCTTCCTCTTTGCTTTTTATAAACTGTTATGGTGTTAAATTGAAACCCAACCAGAAAGCCGCTCACCAACCCCTCTATTTTTCTGCCTCCTGTAGCACGCAGACGCGGTGGCACAGCCGTCTCCTACCAGAGGATGGGGAAGAAGGAAGCCGTACTCCTCGGAGAGCTGGAACCTGGTCAGCGCCAGAGGCAGCGGGGTCTCCTCCGTGCCCTCGCTGGTCTCCATCACCGGGCACCCGCTGCAGCGTCGGGACGTGCTCTGGCTCGGCTGCGCCGCTCCCGCTATGTGCTGAGCCAGCGCCGGGCGCCCCGGCCGCAGGAGCGTCCCTTGTCCCGGGGGGAGCCGGCGTCCGGCCGCCCAATGGCCGGAGGGTCCGAGCAAACACGGGTAAAGGTTGCCGATAAGGCATTGTCGTGGAGCAAACATTGCGCTCCGTCCCCGTGGGCCCCTGCCTATGGGGAGGGCTCAGGGAAGCTCCCCCACCGCGGCGGGGTGGCTGTGGGCTCTCTGCCCCGGGACCTCCCCTCGGAGCTGCAGGGATGCTCCATGCTCCCATGGGAAGCCCGGGGTGCGTTCGGCTGGCGGCAGTGCAGGTGACGCTGGCCCTGCAGCCGGGTGTCCCCAGGGTCCTGCCAATGCCAAACTCACGCCCTGTGTCCTGTGCTTGGTGTGCGGGAACCGTGCAAGAACCGGGGACCATCCACGTGCCGCTGGAGGCTGCAGAGCCCGGGCACAGCACAGACCCTACACTGCAGCCACTGCGGGCACCAGGCATGGCCCCACAGGGCAAACGTGTGTCGGTGGCTCTGGGAACTGCCCGCGGCCCCCACCAGGCTGTGCGTGACACCCCCCGGCTGCCAGGGCCCAGGGACCTTCGTGCCTGCAGGACCCATATATGCTCCATCAGCCATGAACTGTGTCCTCAGCCCCGTGAGGCGCTGCTGATGTATGTGCTGACAATACGACCAGCACAGCCAAAATAAATTGACGGGAGCCACATCCAAAGCAGCTGCCGCAGAAGTACACACGGCACGGCAGGGAGTGAAACTCCCCAATCCGCATTTCGTGTCACTTAAGGGTTTATCTGCATTTCCAGCGGACCGCTGAACGTGAGCTGACATTGTCATTAAATTCCCAGCGCCGAACAAAGCGCACGACCGCAGTGATGGTTTTACTCGGCAGTGGCGCATGGCGTGCCGGTAGCGCGCCCGCACCGGAGGCGGGCAGAGCCCTCGGGGATGCCGGGGGGTAATCCCACCCTCTTGCAGTGGGGGTCTGTGCGCTTCTGACCTAATCGCACTGCACAGGAACAGAACCCCCTGCCCGTGGGTTCACGCTGGTGGGGGCCACGCTGCCGACTGGCCGGAGACAACAGAATGAGGCTGAGGGACCTGGTGGCGGAGGCTGCTGGTTCAGTGCGGTGCTGCCTTTGTCCCCCCAGCCCCTCGGTCCCCTCCCTGCGGTGGGTGCTGCTGCCACGGCACCCCTGCGTTTCGGCCTGGGGGTCAGCTGGGACCAAGGGGCGCTGAGGTGGGGGCACAACTGTGCGGGTTGGCCGGAGGGGTGGTGTTTGCCGGGGTGTGCCGGGGCACCCCGAGCCCACCCCGGTGTCAGTGCCGCTGTTTGCCCGCACAGGGGACAAGGGCCGCAGCCAGAGCCGGGACGGGCCGCCGGCACAGTGGGGCCGCAGGCAAAAAG